TAACTGAATTTTTTGCGAATGGTGAGTCAAGAATTGTCGCGATATATCAAACTTGGGAAAATGGCATTTTTGCATTTAAAAAAATTGAAAAAAAATTATTTACAAATCACACGAGGTGTCTATCGCCCAAGTGACATTGGTTTCATGCATAACTGAATTTTTTGCGAATGGTGAGTCAAGAATTGTCGCGATATATCAAACTTGGGAAAATGGCATGTACGCTTTTAAACAAATGAAAAAAAATGATTAACAATTCACTCGAGGTGTCAAGCGCCCAAGTGACATTCGTTTCATGCACAAGTGAATTTTCTGCGATTTTTGGGAAAGGAATTGACGCGATATATCAGACTTGGGAAAATGGCATTTTTGCATTTAAACAAATGGAAAAAAAATTATTTACAAATCACGCGATGTGTCTAGCGCCCAAGTGACATTGGTTTATGCTAGTGAATTGAGCATAAAGACCATGAGAGATGAGCACCAAAATATTCACGAAAGGTCAACTTATTCGATTGACTATTTCAATCCAGCGCAACCACTACTTGCCAAAACACAAATTAGATTGAATATCAAGAGGAAAAGCTCGACTATCAAGCAAGCATATTGGAGATTCATTTTTCGAGGCAAATCTTAATAGCAATGTGAAAAATGCCACAAACTCTAACTCGAATGGAATCGACTGCTACACAGATTTAGCGAATTCGTGAGTTTTTTAACAAGTGAAGCTTTCAGGAGTAAATATCGCCACAATTACCAAGCTCGGCGGCCATGAGTTCAATCGTCCGTTGAATTATCACAGAAGAGAGGTTTGTTGCTCCGCGCATTGTTCCTGGAAGCCTGGGTCGGTTCGAACTGGGACGAAAGGACAGGTCTAGGAGAAAGCAGACGTCGTAATATGGAGCAGTCAGGGACATTAGTGCGCCAGCAACCACGCTGACAGGGGAGGGCAATTTAATGTGATTGGAATCTGAATTTCTGTCAGTATGACAGCAGCCATCAGCCAATCTAAGTACTCAGCACAACTTACAGATACAACACAGAAAGGACCTTTGAAGAACGGTTTCAAGCTAGAATGGCGAGTTTAAATCACGATACTCAACTAGCTGATTATCTGTGTATCTATCCTATTTCCCATTACCCGAATTTATCTACTTTGAAATAACTCACACATCATATAAACATCACAAGTTAAACAGTTGACTGCATAGTTACTCGACACAACTACCCAATAGTGACAAAAGCTGAGGGATAACAGAGGTTTACAAATGTGTCGAGTGCTTACCACACACGAAGCCTTGGTGGTCTGCACCTCCTTCTCAAGTCGCTCAATGTCATTCATGCCTGCCATTTTAGCCGACATCTTGCTCACGCGATCCCATGCCGATTGGACTTTCTCTTCCCTCTCCTTGAGGATGCTTGCGACACTCCCGGCAAGGCTGG